GAAACAATTTGAAGAAAGGAATAATGAAAATTCGGCAAAGAGCTCAAAGTCAAACATTTCTCCAACAAGGACATTTAAATTACCACTACTTGCTAACAAAGACTAAGGAAATACCAGGATCTATACAGTAACTGAAAAATAAAGGTTGAGATGGGTCCTCTTTTATTCCATTTTTCTGTCCTGCATGTTACAGTCCTACAACTCACTACAGCATTGGCCTTCTGTGTAGCATATGCTGGCTTGTGTTCAACTTCAGACCCAAAAGAACCCACACATTTCATTCCTAAGGACGGCTACTCAATCACATGCCCCACATCCTGCATTTGTGCGTTCAATTATTCTTACTGAAATGTAGGACTTCATATTTTCTATTTCTGAACTTTCCTTTTTTCCCAGATCTCAGTATCTGCATTTTGTTCAAGTAATTTTAAATTCTAGCTTCCACCTCACACACGTACACGCAGTCAGCGAAGTTATAACTGCTGCTATCTCTTTGCGAGGACTTCAGACAAACATCCTAGCCACTTGTCTGAACTATTTGCAAAATTACAGTTCAAATATTCCCTTCCCTTCTGGAAACTGAGAGCTCCTCCTGCTGGCCTTTTGTTGAACTAAAGACAAACCAAAATAAATATTTGCCAAACCAAGGAAATACAAAAAATGCAACAATAACATTACTGATATTTTAGTATCTTTCAGTATTTGGTGTTGAAACAAACAAAGCTAAGAAAAATCTCACTCTACAGGAAGCACAGAATAAAAGATAACTCCAAAGATTTGCCTAAAAGAAACAGATTATCCAGAAACAGATAGTGTGAAATCCAATTTTTTTCTTTGCATGGCAAACAATCTGCTGCTCTGACATAAAACCAGTTGTTATTAATTATTTTCCTACTGCAGTTGAGGAATAAAACAAGTTAAAATATCAACTACAAAGGTAAGAAATCCAAAGATGACTCACAGTCACAAACATTACTGATTACTCTTCTGACATAAAATTACCTTGAGAAACTACCAGAATTTTAGTCATAGGTTTTTATTACTTCTGATCAGGTGTGATTTGCATAAGGAACTGAAAGGTGGCTTTATTGCTCAAGAAATAAATTTTATGAGAGTAACTATTCAATTTTGGTGGGCTTAAAAAAAACCCACAACACATTAACAGCCAAGAGCAGACTTGCAAAGCTCTACTTGAAAAGTAGTATTTCTCCATCTCACATCTCCTTAGCAGAAGTTCAAAGCATATTTCCAGACTACTTATTTGAGTCAGACAGAACAGTTTGAGCCACCAGACTGTATGAAGTTAGATAATCTTGTAATTATTTCAAGTGACTATCAAGTACAAGACAGATGTAAGACGTGTGTTAATTAAAACTCACGTATACATAGATGAACATCCAGGTTAACCCAGTAAAGCCAGCAAATACCTATCAGTAGTGATACCCTCAGAATGGGGAATTAATGTACTGCTTCAAGTTCACCTGAGAGCCTGAACTCAAACATTAGCACTGTTACAATTTTCTGAGATTGCCAAATACTTCAGAGTTTGAGGAGAACAAATACCAGCAGAGTAAAACCATCACCCAACTCTTAATACTTTGCATCCAGCTTACCTGCTCCCTAAAAAGATTTCAGAATTCACTGCCCGTATTTTTTTTCCTCCACTATTCCTCACAGCCTTGGGAAAACAGTCATTTTGGGGGAGGAAAAAAAAACCAAAAAACTACACACCCCAAAACCAAAGCTCTAAGCTGTAGGAAGAGAGAGGTCAGTCCCAACCACCATGAAATAAACCAGATCACAGCACCAGGACACCAAGCAAACAATTTTCAGTTCAGTGAGCAACTCTTTCATTCTAATGAGATCCAAAATAAAAGCTTAAATTATGCACATCATCTGGGTACTCCCTGGTGTTGCAAAGTTTTCAACAGTCTTTGGAAGCTAATTTATCACTGACTGCACAGACATCGTAACTGAAGACCCCGTAATACACCATTAAGGTCAGCCTTCGTCTGCCCTTCTAGATCACTCCCCCTGTTCTGCAACCAACTTTCACTAGAACTCCGTACCATTTGCAGATGAGTCAACACATTCTTAATCCCACCTTTCTGATTTATCAGTAACTCAAACTGGTAATTGTGTTTTCCACTTCAGTGAGCTAGATGAACTCAGAAATTTTCCTATCTGCTTTCTTAGTTTGGAACTGCCAGATTGTTTATTAAACCACTATAAATAGCTGCAAACTTCAGAAAAGCAAAAGCACTATTTAGATGGCCAAAATCTTTGAGAGAAGTTAATTCAACCTTGCTGGTAACAAGTCCATACTTGTTTACTGAACACCTGTTCTCTTTTTCCCCTCACTCGTTATCAAGCCTGCCAAATCAACCCTCCTATTCCTATTCCCTCCAGATCCCTTCCCTTCTGGTTATGTGAGGCAGAAACTTGCCAGGGTGGCATTTCATAGAAAGTTTTCTCTTCTCATGCACAGCACAGAGTTGAGCCTAGAGCTCCCAGATCATGCCTCTTCTCTTTCAGTATGGTCAGCAGAGCGCACTGCATGCAAGAACTGAGTTTTCACACGCTTTCCGGCACATCCAGGGCAAGTTACGTTAGTTATTCCCTCATTATCCATACCGGTCACCTACAGTGCAATAATGCTCCCCCTCAAAACTTCCTCCAGCATTCCCCACTTGTCACTCCAATTCATCTGGCTCAGCAGTTCTGATAAATAAGCCAGTCGCCAGCCATTATCACTGCTCAATTAAACAGCCATGTCAACAGGGAGGGATTAATTACTTTGGGACTTTGAAGACCTGCAAGACCTTTAGCAAGATATAAGAAGAAAGAGATGATAAGCAGGATTGTCTCAGTGCTCTACATATCCATTCCTCAGCAGAGGAAAGGGTAACCAACAAATTATTAAAGATATAGTAATAAAAAATAAAGATTACTTTAATATTTTTCTTGAAAATACATGTAAGCCTGTGGTACTCATTACTTCATGGTATCTTTCAGGCCCTGAGTTTAATAACAAACTCAGATCTAGCATTTAAGCGTGTAACATCTATGCTTGCATAAGATAAAATACGCAAATAAGATGCAAACCACAGTTCTCCAGAATATTTTTAATTTTCTTTTTGAAGCAGCAGATGCTGGCAGTCACCACCACAGCCAGGAACACTGGAACTGATCATGAGCAAAACATCCAAGATCTTGTGCTGTTGCAGTTAATATAACATATATAATATGCTTTGAACTGGAATGTTGTTATGTATAAAGAGCCACCAGTAAGTAGACATAGAGAAAAGGTTAAAAAAAATATTTTAATTATTATGCAAGCTATTTTTAAAACTCTTAGAACTTGTAATACTCAACCTCATCTTGTATGACTGAGGCTTGTGAGCTGGAGTACTGCATATTCCTCATTTGTCCTACAGTTCTAACAGCTAAAGGAGTTCTGTCACCTTACATCGACAGCAAGCAGAATGTCTTGCGTTATGAAAAACACATCTTTAAAAGCAAATTTCAAGTATTAATGCCCAATTTTGTCAACTTAAAAGTGCAGGAATAAAAACTTTTACGTTATCCTGTTGAGATAAGTAAGCACCTAGTCCTCTTTACGCAAAAGGTTATTTTTAAAGACCTGTCTAGGTTTCACAGTAATCAATTATCACCAACAACTGCCCTCAGATTAGGAAATTAAAAGCAAATAAATTACACTTGTCTGACATAACGTTATTTCCTCAAGCTAACCTGACCTTTAATGACAAATACACTTCCGATAAAAAAAAAAATCATACACGCAAATAGAGTTAAGCCTTATTAGTTTCAGACCTCAAACTTTGAAGCGCTATGTGCAAACACTGGCAAGTACACAGCATCGTAAAGTCAACGGAGAAAAAAATACCCATTTCATGAACATACTGCCCTTACAAGTTACTCCTACACCTGCCTCCTGAGCCTAATGTAAATAGGAAAAAATGACAACAACCTCACTACACTAAGTTCAAAGGCCCAAAGCGCAAGTCAATCATCTTACAAGGCGAGACAGCGAGGTAAGGGAATAGGTGCAGAGGGAAGGGCGGATCTCCCCCGGCTGACAGACCCGGGCTGGGCACCACAGGCCAACACCGCCACCCGGCGACGGGAGCGCAGGCCCGTCCCAGCCACAGACCGCACGCACCAGCCAAAAGGAAAAAAAAAAGAAAGAAAAAAATCGCGAAGAGAATACGGTTGCCCTTGGCAGTCAAACTGCGTTGTCAATCGTGTTATCGGCTGACCGACGTCAGAAAAATTTACAAGTATTATAACAGGCGTGCGCAGGAGCAATCACTGTTTTCCTGTAGCTCAGCCTAAAACGCACGGGGGAAAAAAAAAAAAAAAAGCGAAACGTGAGTCATCATTGGGCTGCTACAAAGATAGTATATAACTCCCCACGTATAGGAAAGTCACCTAAAGACGGTATGAACAACTTTAAACTTACAGTGGGAACCCCAAGAAGCAAACTATTCACTAGATCGTATAAAACGCACACGGTGTAATACAAACCCGGTGAAACAGCACTCTTCACGGCCTACAGAAAATAATGGCAATCCCATGAAACATTACACCCAAGTACAGAGACCACGGAATGGGAGTGCTAGTAAAAAAAAAAAAAAAATCACCACCTATCTTGTTTCAGAATAAGAAACACAACCCGAGCATATAAAATAGTTGAGGGGTTTTTTTAATATTATGTACAAAAACGTCTGACCAACTATAAAAGCAAAAACAAAAAACCCATTACTGCTTCCTTTAGGACAGGGGAATAGGAACGAGAAAATGTTAACCAACGCCTCCCAAAATTTCGGAGTTTCCCTTTGTGGGGGGAGGGATAAAAACTGGTATGAATGTAGTTTTATTTCTGCTCGTATCTGACCAAAAAGTAATCCGGAGCTCCGTACCTCCCTACCATGATGAATCATGGTCTTCCCGCACCAAGCCTCGCCGACCAGCCTCACCTTAAAATTACTAGAGTTGACCCATCCTGTTAACTCGTCGATCACTTTGTCAAGGCGCTGCTGGTCCTGCTCCAGATCGGGGGACCTCGCCGGGTCGCTCAGGTATTCCAGCAGCTCCTGGCCGACCTGCATCCTGCGGCCCACGTCCTTCTGCTGTACCTGGTCGCAGAAATAATCCATACCGGCAGGCTCCATCCTCGGCCGCCGCGTAAAAGTTTTTTCGGAGACGAAA